ATATATGCATTACGTAAAAAAAGCGATATAAATTGCGGTAACGTATATATATATATATATATGCATTATATAAAAAAAGCGATATAAATTGCGGTAACATATACATATATATAGAGAGAGATGCATAACGTAAAAAAAGCGACATAAATTGCGGTAACGTATATATATATATATATATATATATATATATAGATGCATTACGTAAAAAAAACGATATAAATTGTAGTAACGTATTTATATATATATAGATGCATTACATAAAAAAAGCGATATAAATTGCGGTAACGTGTATATATATATATATATATAGAGAGAGAGAGAGAGAGAGAGATATGCATAACATAAAAAAAAGCGATATAAACGGTACAAAAATTGAAACTTCGTATTTTATACGTATATATGCATACGGGTTTAAACCCTTACGGATATTTACGTACGTATTTATACATAAATATGTACGTATTTATACCCCATACGCATATTTACGTACGTATTTATACGTATATATTTGTACGGGTTTAAACCCATACGCATATTTACGTACGTATTTATACGTAAATATGCGTACGGTTGAAAACCCGTACGCATATTTACGTAAGTATTTATATGTATATATGCGTACGGTTGAAAATTCGTACGCATATTTACGTAAAAAACGATATAAATTGCGGTAACGTGTATATATATATATATAGATGCATAACGTAAAAAAAGCGATATAAATTGCGGTAACGTTTATATATATATATATATATATATATATATATATATATTTAGATGCATTACGTAAAAAAAGAGCGATATAAAGTGCGTTAACGTGTATATATATATATATATATGCATTACGTTACAAAAAAAGCGATATAAATTGCGGTAACGTATATATATATATATATATATATATAGATGCATAACGTAAAAAAACAATATAAACGGTACAAAAATTAAAACTTCGTATTTTATACGTATATATGCGTACGGGTTTAAACTCGTACGCATATTTACGTACGTATTTATACGTAAATATGCGTACGGGTTTAAACTCATACGCATATTTACGTACGTACGTATTTATACGTAAATATGCGTATGTATTTATACCCATACGCATATTTTCGTATGTACGTATTTATACGTAAATATGTGTACGTATTTATACCCCATACGCATATTTACGTACGTATTTATACGTATATATGCGTACGGTTGAAAACCCGTACGCATATTTACGTTAAAAAATGATATAAATTGCGGTAACGTGTGTATATATATATATATATATATATAGATGCATAACGTAAAAAAGCGATATAAATTGCGATAACATATATATATATATATATATATATATAGATGCATAACGTAAAAAAAAAGCGATATACATTGCGGTAACGTATATATATATATATATATATATATATAGATATAGATGCATTACGTAAAAAAAACGATATAAATTGCGGTAACGTATATATATATATATATATATATATGCATTACGTAAAAAAAGTGATATAAATTGCGGTAACGTATGTATATATATATATATAGAGAGAGAGAGAGAGAGAGATGCA